ACTTAATTCCAGAGTCTGTATGTATGTAAAAGAAAGGGGATAGGTGAGGATGCTGCTGGTGGGTTTTATATGATTGGGGTTTTTTTGGTTGTTGGGTGGTTTTCTTTTTAATTTCTTTTTCCACCTTAACCATTGAAGCTGTCTCCCGACCATGAACATCTGGGATTGTAGTTAATTGTGCATGGGCTATTAACTGCAGAATATCAAGGCTTAACAAAGCTAAAGTTTCCTTCAGCAGGTGGTTTTGTCTTCCCCCCACACTAATACCAATATTAGGTTGAGGTTAGAAGCTCTTCGTGCTGCTCTGCCTCAGATAGCATTTCTGCTCTTCAATGTATAGGAAAAGGTGAAAGACAAACCTTTCTGTTTGAATTTATTTAAGAATTAATTGTTCCAATCCTTTTGAAAGTATTCTTCTAGATGCTCTATTGTAGCAAATTTACAGGACAAATGTTTGTCTTGCTCTTGAATATCTCTTAAACAAGAGCAAACTATTGGTTTTCCTTCCCATGCAGTTGCAATACTCTCACAGGATGGTTAGGGAGCTGTTTGGGGTGGGAGAGCTCATTACAGTTCATTCTTTTTCAGCTGAGTAAGACGGATTTATTAGGGGAAATAAATGTGCAAATTTAACAGCTTTATTCAGATAATGGAGGATTTCAAGTGTTTTTGACACTGCAGATCACTAACTGGATTAAGAAGAGTTGGATACAAATCATCCTTAATCTAGTTAAGGGCTTGTAGCAGCTTGTGGCAAAGCCAGTGGTTTTGCTTACCTCAAAGAGCAATTTGAGAAAAGCTCTTTCCTTTTGCATGTATCAAATTAAATAAATGTGGTTCCCAGTTGGGGCAGGGTTAGATCAACTAATCAACTACAAATCTCCCCCTCATCATGAGAGAGTGCTTCAGATCTCTGCTGTAGCAGGAGGGAGCTCTGTAGCAGCTGATGGGATAAGCCCAGAAGGACCCATGCTTTGAGACTCTGACCAAGATGAAGACTGAAGAATAGTTAAAAATGATACTTTAAAAAAGAAAAAAAGTCTGGATTATGTCGGCCTTCTGGATCCAATAATATTGCTAATGAGTTGTGAAAGCCTGGCCCATTGTTGATTAAATTGAAGATGCCACTAAGCAGCTTTCTGGTTGTCCCAGCAGAACTGAATAACTATTGTTCTGCAACAATGCAGTGCTCAGCAAGAGCAGAAGCTAACAGTTACCCCAGGGTTTCCCCTAAACAGGCTGCTTTGATCCTTGTGGAAGAGGGTCTTCCACTGGTTAATGAGAACTGGTTAAATTATATCAAAAATACAGTTAAAAATTTTAGCCCTCACATGCAACTGAATTCAGTGACAGCAAATCAAAAGGACTGGACAAGTATTTCCAACCAGTTGTCTGAACTGCTAACAAAACCATACAAGCTTGTAAAATGGTAAAAAAGCAACATATTGTAAGTGCTCAATAAGAATGTAACGACTTTTTGACTAGAGTACATGAGATACCATCCAAGATCCACTCTCTGAAAGGTAGAGTAAGCTTGTTTTAAGCTGGAATTATTTTCAGCTCTTTTGTATGATAGCATAACCCAGTGTTCTGTACCCCTAATCCTCTTGGCTAATCAAAACCTTTCCCATTGGTGTAAGTCAGCTTTAGTAAAAGGTCATTGAAAAACCTTGACCATGAGGTGTTTGTTTTTTGAACAGCACAGTCTGTCTTCCTGATGCAAACCCAAATTAGTTCAGTCCCTTCCAATGCTGTCCTGAGTCAGTGTTTTCTAACCTTGCTGTGTCTGAAATCCTTCAGCAGCAGATCATCATAGAAGCATGGCCTTTCTGCAGTACTTGTGTTTTGTGGGGAGGTTACCATCTTTAATGCCCATTGTAGCTGTAATTTATGGAGAAAGAAATGTAGTCCTTATACAACCATACAGTTACATAAATTGGGCAAATGTTCCTTAATGCTCGTGTGTCATGAAATTGGATGATGTCACGAAATTACAGCACTTTGTGGGTATTCTGAAAGTGCTATCCACATGTGCATAATCCTGTACTTCCCTTGAGTATTTGGGCCAAAGAAAGTCCCTCTCAGATCCCAAGCCTCAAGCTGCCTGGTTAAAGGGAGGTGCCCCAATGCCCAGAGGAGCAGGTGGGACGAGGGGACAAGACCCCTGGGGACATGTAACTTCACTAAGTTCTCATATAAAACTGTGGAAAGCAGGCTTTGCTGGTCCTGATTCATGTTTTCTATTATTCTTACGTGCAGCAGCCAGCCTCAGGGGTTGGTGGGTCGTGTTTGGAGAATGGGTGCTGAGCAGCTGCTGGACAGCTCTGCCCTGGAACACCTCGGGTGTCTCTTGGTTTAGGCTGAGCTGCCCTGGGCTTCTCTCCTCTGAGGAGGCCCTCACTATCCCTGCTCAGATACAGGAATCAAACTAGGACTCAAATGGGTACATAACAAAGGCTGTGGAGAAGCAGAGCTTGCAGCAGCCTGGGAAGAGGCTCGGAGCTCAGGTGTGTGGGGAGGTGTTAAGGGTAGGGTGGCTGGACACACTCCTTAAGAGCAAAGGAAATGTGGCACAGCTGAACAAGCCACACCTATTCGACCCCTCAAGGCGAAGGGGTGCAGGGTCAATAGTCAAGATCAAGAGTTGCCATTTTATTTCTTGGGAGTCTGTGATCCTTTCAGGAGGATTGTTGAGGTCTGCAGGCAATCAGTCTGTCCAGGTGTTGGAAATCTATATGAGCTACCCCTGAGTATTCAGATTTGGGGGAAAGCTATTGATCCTAGCTGAATGTGTATGGTGATACAATCTTAAACTGTATTGGCAGTGCCTTACTTCAATAAAAAGCTGGAGAGTTTGCTTTCTAGCTGCTTCCAGGAAGTTTTCCCACTGGGAGGAGAATGCAACCCCCACCTTTAGCAGCACATTCCCCTTTTGCACTCAGCCAGGCTGAGTAAAAGAACAAAGGGTTGTGCTTGCCACTGCTGGTGTGAGAAGTGAGAGAGAAAAATGGTCTCCAACCCCCCATCAACAAAAACAGTGCCATTTCTAAGGCCTCACTTATCTTCTGACAGTACTGGGAAGGGCACATGAGGGAGCTGAGTTGGGCAGCCTGGCAGTTCTTTCTTTATTCTTTATGCACCAACAGTTCGTACTCTTTAATATTTGAAGTGAAGTGAGATCAGCCCGTGTGAGTCACCACCCTTGGACACAAGAAGGAAAACACATGGGAAGCACTTATCTGACCTACTTTCTGTGTAAGGGTGCAAAAGCTCAGTGCAAACAAGCAGGGACAAATCTAAAAGTCAAAATTACCTCATGTCTTTCTGTTAAGCAAGAGATCGAAGGGCAATTCACTCTAGAAATATGCTTGCAGAAGCTTAAGGAATAGTACTTTGGGGTTTATTTTTAGTAGGGAAGAAAAGAGCTAAAAAAATGTCTGTATGAGGGGGTTTGATTCCTAGTTTTTTGTTATTAAAAAAAAAATCATAGCTACAATAATTGCCTTATTAAGATCTTGGGGCTGAATAGGCTGGTGGCAACTTGGTTACTTGTCTTCAGAGAGGTAGAATCTAATGGGCTAGTTAACCACCTTGGAAACTAGTTCTGTTGAAATGTGGGGAATGGATAAAGTATTAAGGATGGAAGAGAAAAATGGATAGACCTGGTATCTTAAGAATAACAAGGAGATAGGACCAATAAACACATCCATTGTGGGTAATAAAGTGACAACTAAAGAGCTGGATTGTTTTGACAATACATAATGGTGCTGGCTAACTTCTCCCTGGGATGAGGATGAATGTTATATTCATTTTAAAGTGACACTGTGTTAATGCAAGCTAGAGAGATACAGTGGGCCTGGTGGCAAGAATATGTGTCCTTTTTTTACATAATAAAATGAGACTTTGCACTTCTTGGGATCATAGGGATCCCACAGCTTGGATGAGTCAATGTGACATCTAAACTTGCAGATGGCAGTGCTGGAAAGGGGTGACAAAGGTGACTTTAGGATGGGCTAGAAGTCAAAATTTGAGGAAACGGGAATGTAGTTGGGTGTCAGAAAGATGAAATTTGGAAGAAGTGACTTAGAGGGTTTTGGTTTGAAATCTGAGAAGGGAAAATGACTGGTTAGGTAATGGTAGCCCTGCAGAAATAAACCTGAGGCTCGTCATGAGCTGAGAGTCAGGCATGTTGTAGTGATAGGAGCAGTAAGTGTATACAGCACAGGCCAATGAGATGCATGAAATAATCATTCTGTAATTAGTAAACTAGTAAACACTGAAAGAGTGTTGTCTTCTTTGGAGATCCTGAGTAGCTTTGAGTGTTGTATGCTCTGACAAACAAGTGCCATAGAACAGGGATTTGGCCTCTTGTTTCAGCAACTGAAATTCAGTGCTGGGTAGTGCACTCCTTGGAGTGTAAATGGAGAAAGTTCAGGGCTTATTCTCCAATAGTGAAGGCTGGCTTCTATCTCTGGATTTATTTTGAGTGCCCACACATAGTAAAAAGGGACTTGGATTCTCCTTCTAGCTAGCTCAGACCAAAGCTAGGTGCTTTGGTTTCAGATATATGAACAGTATTTGAGTCATAAAGGGAAAGAAAACAAACTATTTTGCCTTCCCTTCTGCTCCTTAGAATTAATGCAGTGATTTGCAGATGGAGTGGTTGGTAGATAGGGAAGGCACAGTCAGCACCTGAAACAGGCTGGTAAGGACTGGGCATTGCCTGCTCCCAGGATACAACACTGAATGGATTCCTTGCTTTCTTCTTTGCCAAAGCAACTGCAGCCTGGAAGCAGTGCAGAGAAAGGAGACAGCAAGACTGACCTTTCCAACACTAGAGCTACTCTTCTGGGGAGGGGAGCTGGAATGAGGGAAGAAGAAAAAATGCAGTCTGAGCAAAAAATTTGTGTGACCTCTAGGAACCCCTAGAAGATTCTGTGCAAGCAACCTGATCACTTCAATCTCATCACTGACACATCTTTTTGCTCTTCTCTTTAAAGCAAACTACAAATCTGGACCTTCCCCCTGAAGACCTTGATTCATCTGGTGATGAGGAAGATGCGTTCTCAGGTTCAGGTGCAGGTGAGTTATTAGCAGTTGTGCTGGTAGTGCTTGATCCTTCTAGGATGTGGCACTTGAGATCTCAGTAAGCACCCAAGGGAAGGGGGTAGAGAGAGGAATCCACTCACCCACCTACCCCAGAATATGAGAGCTGGGAACAGAGAAAGAGCCTAATCTATTAATCTTGTATTCCTTGAGATTCTCACAATTAGTAGAAAATGAGCTGTAGGAGACTTGAGAGGGAGCAGAAGCAGAGGTAGACTCCATGTGACTGCTACTGTGAGATGTGTGAAGAATGTTATGAAACTGGAGTGATTCTTCACTCATGGGGAAGAGAGATCATAACAAGGCCCTTTATGAGCAGGTAGGAGATAATGTTTGAAGGTGTGTAAACCCCAGCCTACCAACATGTATCAAGTACAAACTTTATCTGTCATCAGATGTGCATGTTCCCATGGGCCATAGGTATTTATAAGTGATAAGGGGGATTTGGGGTAGGGGGAAGAGTCTATAAAAATGATTGTTAGACTGCATGAGAGAGACCCTTGGTGTTCAGTACTGAAGTTGAGGGGATGCTAGTGAGAAAAGAGCAAGCTATTGAAAGCTGAAGCATGCTATGCTTCTGCTTCCTTCCAGCCACAAATTTGTATTTTAGATTATACTCTGAAGAAATTAAGACCCTGAAATCCGTTCCAAATGCAGTTGAGACTGAAGGTGTGACTGCTCTGAATCAAAAGTGTTTATGGAAAAAGACTCAGATATCTACACTGAGGAGTCAGTGTACTGAAAGCAGATTTCCCTTGTCAACCTCACCACAAACAGGCACTTTTGGCTTGGGGAGAAGCAGATGACTAACAAAGTATTGCTGAATACCACATTGGTCTGTCCCTTCCTTATTCCACTGAAAAGGATGAGGAATTAAAAACTGAACATTGGTTATTATGAAAATTGACTGTGAAGGTTAAGCATCCTCCTTAGACCAGTGTCCTAAAGATACTATTAATAGGCCTCTAAACTGGCCAAGGGTTTAATATTTTTTGTTTGTTTGTTTTGCAGGTCCTCTGACTGATCAGTCTCACACTTGGAAAATCCCAGGAGAATCAACTAATTCCTCAGTAGTGGCAGCACCAGTGGATTTCAGTGAGCAGCCATTTCATGGGATTGAGAGCAGAACTGAAAAGGAAGCAGTGTCTCCTTCTGCAACCAGTAATCCAGTGACAGAGAAACCAGTTGTAGCTGTGAAGGACGAATTATCCATCCTGGGCTCACCTGATGGGAAACCAGCAAGCCATGTAGTCACAACAACAGTGAGAAGTCCTACTGCTCACTTCCCTTCCGTGGTTCATGTGACTCCTTCAGAAGCCTCTGCTGTGGTCCATGAGCTTGAGCCTGAAATCCCCAGCTCTGATGTGCCAGACACCAAGGATGTCCCTGAGCCCCACTCTACTGTCCACAGTGAGGGAGAGGTGGCTGCCACCCCCGCGGCCGCAGCTCCGGAGGATGTCGCTCCTACACATGAGGAGGTTTCTGAAGTTGGCTCTGGAGACCCGGTGAGGACTAACAGTTCTGACACCCTTTGCAGGGACATGTCGTCTTTAGGTAGCATGTACGAAGTTGGTTTGGTGGGAATGGGTGTTAATTAGTCAAAACCAGTGATTGGTTTAATGGGTTATGTTGGTAGACAGACATGATGAGAAACATGAATAACCTGCCCTGTATGTCCCAACAGGGAGACTTCATCTTGACTAAAGACGAGGAATTTCTCCCCACCCAGAACTCAGAAGTACTGGCTGACTCTGAGAGGAATGCCAAAGCAGCAGGAGCCTCGGGAATTATGGACAGAAAAGAAGTTCTTGGAGGTACCAAATATTTTGGATTTCTAGTTGGTAAAAGCAGATTCCTGGAGTCTCCTGGAAGAAGCTGCAGTTGTGCAAATACATCTCTGAGCAAGGATGCCAACCTTTTATGTTAGACCTCTGAAATGAGGGTGATGATTCTGTGATGTCAAAACCTTAACAGGGGCAAATATTAGTCTGCTAATAGCAGCTAGCAGTGGCTGCTTTATCTGCAACTTTGTTTAAACCTCTTCCTTCACTCCTCTGAAAAGTTACAGTAAAATTTCTCTGTTGCTGCCTCAGTCAAATTACCAGGGTTGAGCACCATAGCCTTGTGTGCTGTGCAGCATGGCCCAGTGGGAGATCCATGTCCCTGGCACTGGCTGCTGTATTTGAGCAGGTGCTTGGTTTGGGAGGGGACAGAAGGACACATTAATTTAAGTCATTAAGCCAGGGATAGGTAGGGAGCAATCTGGAACTTAAAATCATAGTAGCACTATCTGGTATGGCATTTAGAGTAATCTGTGTCTTTTTCTCCCCTTCCAGGTGTTATTGCTGGAGGACTTGTAGGCTTGGTGTTTGCAGTGTTTCTAGTTGCATTTATGCTGTACAGAATGAAGAAAAAAGATGAAGGCAGCTATTCACTGGATGAACCAAAACAGTCTAATGGAGGATACCAAAAACCACACAAACAAGAGGAATTCTATGCATAAACACTGATCTTCAGGACACTTCTTATTCCATCTTTCTTGGACTCTTCTCTCCCTGCACGTGGACCTCCTAGTGTGCTTTGCATTAAACTTAAGCCATATGATCATTGGGTTATTTGCCCTTACCACTTTGCCATTGGAAATTTTTTAACTACAAAGTAGATCTGGATTCATTGAACATTCCCTGCTTTCTTGCACAACTTGGTTTTTTTGTTGTGTTTTTTTGGGTTTTTTTAACAGAATTGGAGCTGCAAGTTCCTTAACTCACCTTGGTTTATCTAAAGACTGCTGGGACAGGCGGTGGGGAGAAGATAAGGGAGCACTGTATGTATAAAACTCTTGATATTTAGGGAAAGGGCTAGCAAGAATAACCAATTACCAGTGCTCACACTCTGTATAGCAGGGGTCCTTCCTATTTAACTCATAGATGTGTTTTGAGTGTAACAAGTGGCTGTGCTGGGCAGACATTTGGTACACTGCTATCCTCTAGCTCTTTCTGACAGCTGTATTTGGAGCACTTAATGCCTATGAAACATCAAGCTGAACTTGATCTCTGCCAAAAGGAGGTGTGAGGGGCAGGGTAAACAAATGACTGTCACATGGTTTAAAATAACTTATATTTTGGAAGCATTATCCCATACTCAGAACCAGTTCCTAAGCAGCTGGTACATACACTAGCAAAAAACAAACCCCAAGAACCCCAAAACTGAGCGGAGAGCTAATTTTGCCAATAGTGTTGGGCTGTCCCACTACACACCCGCTCTCTCTCTCTCTCTCTCTCTCTCTCTCTTTCTCTCTCTCTCTCAAGGCTTAGGTAAGAAGTAGATTTTTCCAAGCAGTCTCATCTCAGACATTCCCTTTCCTAGGTGCTGAGTGGAGGTTGGCTGTCTTGCTGCCTGATCTCACCCCGGGCAGTAGCAGGCGACAGGGGCCGTGTTGTAGCACCTCCGGTCACCGCGGCTGTTTCAGAACGTGCTCTGCCCTCTGTGCCACAGGGTGCCGTGGCACACAGGGCTGGGAGGAGGGGAGCAGCACCTCATGGCTGCAGCTAAGGAGTAGAGAAGCATCTGAAATGAGCCTGGGGAAGGCTTGAGTGTAGGTGGCCTTAAACAGATACAACAGTTGGTGTGCTTGACTCTCACTACTCCGGAACGGCTCCTTGGAAGCTGTTCCTGCACTTTGGAGAGAAGCCACTCCAGGGATGTCAGTCTAGTAAGGGCAGAAAAGCACCCCCTGAGCACAGTCTGGATGCCTGAAGCTGTGTGTGGTCAGTGTGCTGTCAGATGTCAGGCACTGGGGCCTCACTGGGGGTCTGGAGTTCTCCAGAGCATCTCAAACTGCAAACACAAGTGTGGTGTTCTGTACAAGCCTTACTTCTGCTCTGCCTTTGGGTAACTTCTTGCCACTTCAGTTCCTCGTCACTCAGTGCAGAAGGTATGGGGTGGGTGGAGGAGTGTTTACAACTGATGTAAATATTTGTACTGTTGAGCTAGAGGGAATGATCAGAGTACATTGGACAATATTGCAACAGTTGGTACAAATGTTGCATGTTAACAGACAAACTTAAAAACCTGTGTAATTTAAATGAAGTATAAAACACTCCTGAGCTGCCATGCAGCTAAAATTGGTGCCTTCGTTGCAAACACAAGAAAAAAACCCCAAAATACCTTGATTCCAAACTCTTCTTTATGCACGTGGAGAACTTGTGCATATGTGTAGCTGGCTGGTTTTTTAAGTAAAACTGCAACAACCATTATGGTTTTTTGTTAGGGTTGTTCTGTTTTCAGTTGTTTTGTTATTTTGGGTTTGTTTTGTTTTGTTTTTTTTTTTTACCGAATGAATTTTTATAGGTTAATGCAATGACCAGATGGTGTTAATTTCAGCTGTAATTCTTTGCTTTGTATAGGAATGTAGAAATGTTTGATAGGTCTATCTATGAAAAGGTTCTTGTAAAGCACAGGAAGATAAAGTAAAATTCAGTTGTACCTCACAACCTTGTTAGGGGGAAAGGAAAAAAACTGTATATTTTGGTAGTCTTAACTGACAGTTTGTGAAACAAACATGACATTCTGGATTATTTAAGTGGTACAAATGAAAAATGAGTTCTGACAGAAGATGCAACATTGGGTTATCTGTATGCCATGTAAAGGTATACTGCAATAAATGGCATTTTGGCAAGAACGTGTCTGACACAGTCTGTCTGTGAACATTGTTGTGTATAATACATCAAAAAGTAGATGTTGTTTTTAAGACCACCTAGGTCTTTAAGGAATTTGGGTTACAGAACTGTGAATTCTGGGGCTAGAAACACAGAGATTCAGTTCAGCGCTTGAAGGGTCAAAGTGTGGCCTGCCTTCTCTCTCACCCTGCCCTGAGTGTCCTGGTTGCAGTGAGGTGCTCTGGCTGGAGGCACTGGTGTGGGATACAAATGGGCTCCAGTGGAGAGCAGAATGAAATGGCTTTGTTAGAGCCCTGCAACATTTCATGCTGGTTCTGATTTTGGGACCTCTCCTTGTGCAGAATGTCACCATCCCCAAAATGGTGATAAAAGTTTCAAGTCTTCCACAGGGCTTCCTCCACCTCCTCATCTTCTGCCCTCAGGAGTTTGAGAGCACTGAGGACTGTAGGAGGGCAGCCCCAAGCCTCCCCTAAAACCTGCTTTCCAAGATGAATGGGAGATTGTACCCCCAAGGAAGGAGAACAGAGCAGGCCTGTCCTCAGCATTCTGCTGTGCAACATCAATTACTCTGGGGTGCTATGGCTTGTGTGGGAGGAGATGGAGCATCACAGAAGTAGAGGAAAATTATTCCCCTTACAAAACAGGGAAATCAGGAGCTGCTGTCTGTCTGGGTGGGTCTTACTGCAGCTTTGCAATTACTTACTTTTGTAAAGGTTTTGAACTGCAAGAAACTTATTTTTTGTTCTGTAAACTGGCCACTGTATTTTTAGTGTGCTTACACTGGAACTGTGGGCGCCTATGTTTACAGAAAAAACCTAAACATTTGGAAGAATCTTGGAAATCAGAAAGTTTTGAATCCAGGCAAAAGGATTGAAGGGTTGAGTTTAGAAGACTTGTTTCCATAGTTAAATACAGCTGAAAAGTGCTTTTTAACTTCATGCCAACTTTGCCAGTCCTTAAACTGGCTAGACTTGTGTAAGATCAGAGTTGGCTGGTTTGCATTGCAGGGCCTTACCAGCTGTGAATTCACTTCCTTAGGGGCTACCAAGACTTTTGCTTCCCCTTTTCTAGTCAGTGATAATATCTGAAGTTAAAGCAGCAGGGAGGGAATAAAATGAAGTGCTAAGGGAAGTGAGAAATTCCTGTGTGAAAATCCTTGCAAGTGCAACACTTACCTGATCCTCAGTGTGCACTTCAGAGAAATTTTGTTGTACCAAGAGAGAATTATTTACAGGAAGGCTGGTCTGCCTCCTGCTTTGGCACAGGTTGGCCTGGGTTTTCCTGAGTCACATTTCTGTTCACTGTGCTTCCTGACTTTCTTCTTCATCCATGCTGGAGCAATTATCACATTTGCTCTTGTTCACAAGTGAGATGCAAAGAATGTGCCTGGCAGAAAAATTTGACCCCTTCTTTGTTCTGGAAAAATGAGCTGGAGGGTGTAAATGCACTGGATGTCAAAGAAGGCAAACTATGAGAGAAGGAGGACTTTTCACAATTCTCACTTTGTCAGGTTGTATTAGAGCCTATAAAGGAAGCTAAAGCAAACCTAAAAGGCTGTGTAATCTTGTAATTGAAATAGAGAACAGGAGAAAAAAGAGGGCCACTCTACAGGGGTGCTGAGAAGAAAAACTATGTCAGGCATTTCATAAATGCCTTATCTGAGTCTTCATCAGGACTAGTGTGTATGTTGATGAAAATGAGTAGTGGAATGAAGGTGCAGGGTGAAATTTGCTCCATTTGAGAGCTGCAAAACAAAAAAACCCCAAGCTTTTAAATATGCAAGAGGTTAGGTAGAGGCTCAAAACCAAATAGTTACTTAACATTCTGGAGCAGTGTTTAGGTCATAAAACTGCAAGCCTGATGGACAGAATTTTTAATAAGTTTGTCAAGTTAGAGGACAGCAATTTTACTGCAGAAAACGAAACACAGTGTCTTCACTAAGGAAAGAGGAAAGGAAAAGGTGCAGCCTCAGCAGTATGCAAGGTCTTACAAAAGGATCTGATGGATAGAGAAATTAAAAGGTAGGATGATCATATACAGCACAAAATAGATTCACCAAAAGTAGATTGTGCCTGACTAATCTGATATCTTACTTTTTGATTGCAGGTTTTTTTCAGTCAAAGGCAATCTTTTCTAATTGGACTTCACTAAAGCAAGTTATCAGTGCCACACAGAAAATGAATAATCAAAAGGAGGAAGCTAGGGATTAGTGGAAAAATTGTAAAGTGGTGAGAAGTCAGCTAAGGAACAGCAGACTATGCAAGGCAGAGAGTTAGTGGGGAGAAAAGACCTCATTTTGGGGACATCTTTCTAAATACTGTCTGACATAGAAGGAAATACACAGAATTACATTTGCTGTTGGGAATTTGGGCACCCTAGACAGTTTAGAGTATGAAGGATACATTAATATTCTGACAAGTAACATTTAGGGTCAACTTCAACATGACAAGGTCAGGCATGAAGGGGATAACAAAAGGAATTTCTGCTCTAACCTGGGAATAAAAGGGGAAGAAAAGGCTAGGTGAATTAGTCAATCTTAGAATAATTATGTGTGATGTAGTTGTAAGAAAGGAAAAAATAATACAGGATGTATTAGTCAGCAAATACTTCCAGCAAGTACAGGGAATTGCTGGCATCATGGGTATCATTATACAAAGAACTGGTGAGCCCTTTGCTTACCATCATCTACATGGTCTAGGGTTAACTCATGGTGGGAAGGAACAGAGGAAAAACATTATGTGGGAGAACAGAGTCTTTTCCCACAGTAAACTCATGGTATTTGGTTTGCCCAGCTCAGGAAAACACAGACTGACAGGTTGTACAGTTGCTGCATGCTTGTCATGGTAAAGGACAGTACCAGGGATGGGGAT